CGTTAAAGTCATGTAAATCGGTTTCCAGAGCGACCCTGCACCGTCTATGTACATGACTCTGTTACTGCTCGAAAACCCCTTTACTATCCCGAACACAGCTGGGACCGGAAGTATAGAGATTACAACCGTAGCGCGCAATTATACAATCGCGTGGATGAAAACGCTTTGGGAACGTAAGTATCTTCGCAGTAACATCGAAAAACCACGTTTTGCGAGTTCGTGTAAAAATTAAACGATATAAATTATTTATCTAAATTTGATATCAATAATTGGTGCTAAGTTGAACACTACACTAAATTAAATAAAGAATGTGATCCAAATGATACTATCTTTAATTTTTATACGACGATTGAATAAAAACCGCAAATACAATACAACTTTATCGTGGTGCGTTACGGCATGTTGAGCATCCGATTCGTTACGTAACTTCACCGAGGTAACTTCAATCACGCTTTCCTCGCATTCCATGAATCGGATCTGCAAATGAACACGTAACAACGACGCTCCTTGTATGGAAAATACGCACGTCGGTGGTCTACCATTGTCTCGATTTCTCGTGTCAGTGCCACTTCTCGTAGTCGGTTCGATCGTTTCTGTCGATTAAATCCTCCCACGAATGCGGATATGACCGCAGAAGGGCCTACGGGAGCGGAGGGTAAGGCCCATCCAACATTGCGGCGAGCCGCGCCTCCCGCTTTCGATGATAATTATATCCTTTTATTCTACCGGGGTAATTACAAACGTTTACCGTAGGGCCTTTCGAGCGGGCCGCGTTAAAATCCGACCGTGCGAAACTCGTGCGGATTAAACATTAATCGACATCGCTGTCGTGTGAAAAACGCGAGACTCACGACGAGAGAACTCGGGCTTCTTCTATTAACCTTTAAGTAGATAGATAATTTAAAAATATACAATTGATAGATGGAATACTTAGAAAACTTTAAAAAATTGTACATTTATAAAACAACAAATTTAATTAAACAAGACAAGCCTATACATAATGCTGTTGTATTTTCATTTGTTTTGTTCGATTAAGTTTATTGTTTTTAAAGACAGTCCAGAGTTAAGATTCACAATTTTAGTGTTTAATATATGTTTTACAATTATATTTTTACTAATTTATTATAGTTAGTTGAATTTATAATAACGTTATAGTTATATCTTATCAAATAAAGGAATATAACAATAATGAACTTTAGAGTTTCTGAATTTCTGAGCAGTATTTTTACTTTTCTTTTCCAAAACAAGATTTTAAAGAAAACTATACCTGAAATGCTGTGTCCACCCCATGTACTCATTTAAAGGTTAAGCCACTTCGTATCGAGTTAATTGTGTCATCGATTAGTGACACAAACATAAATCTCTAATACGATTATCGTAAAAACGCAATAAGGAAAGCTGTTAGAAGACGTCAGAGCAAGCTCGTTATTCTGTCCTGTTTCACATTACGACCACGTAATTCATATTTCTATCAAATGCACTTTGAATACAGTGAAGTGTACAAGCGGAAGCGAGAAGCTATTTCAGCTCGACTATCGACAGGATATTAAAAGCGTCCATGCGTGTCCAGGGGAAGCATAAATGATCGATTTAATCGGATCTTTATAGGCGAAGAGTGACACTTACACAACGTGACAATGTCACAATCGCGATTGCAAAACAAACTACGAGATTTCTGCGAGAGCAGGGGTGCAATGTTAAATAAATTTCGCCTGGTGCGGGGCGTTAACGCGGCGATAATCTCGTTAACACGAGACTCCGAAGAATTTTACAGCGATACAAATTAGATAATAATCTCGCATTACGCCATTGGCGTAAGCGAGTACGTAGCCGCTACCTTCATGTTGAAAATTCTCGGAAGAGCAAGAAGAAGAAAGAGCAACGCAACAACATCAGAAAGCGAAGAAAGGGACGAAGACAAAAACGCGAGCGCAATAAAAGGCCGAAGGAATCTCCTATTATATCTCCCGTCGCCTTGGAATGCTTGCTAGAACGTGCGTGACTCGCCACCTGCTCGCTATTGGGAATTCCATCCGGCAGGAAGAAACGGAGAACTACGCGAGAGAAGAAAACGGCCCGTTCGAGGTATCATCGAAACTACGCCGCATAGCCTTCGTTTGTCCGACGATGCGGTTGAACTTACTCGATCACCAGTCCCTCCTTTCGTCGCGTCATCTTCGCTGACTAGCTGCCTGTCTGATGGCAATCGAAATGGACAGGGCTCAACGGGACGGGACCTTCTTTTTCTACGTCTTGTGAGAAGTGGTAGCGCGCGAGGTTGGCGCTTGTACGTCAAACTCGCGGCCACTACGGTCCCGTGCCGTTCCATTCAATCGTATCTGTCAATGGGGAACAATATGGTGGCGAGAAAGGCCGAGGAGAAAGAGGACCTCGTGTGCCGGGGTTCACGAATAGAAGAGAGAAGGGAGAGAAGCTGAGCCACCGAACGCGCGTCTCGGCAGCCTCGACTAAGTTATGCAGATTGTTCCGAACAGTTGGACTTTAATGTCGGCATAAATCCTTTGCCACTTAACTTTATACGTGGAGTAGAATGCGTTCCCGCGTCCTCTCGACGCGGTTGGACTCCTCTCTTCTGATCTCTCCCTCTCTCTTTCTCTCTCTCTCTCGCTTACTAGCTCTTTGACTCGCGCGCGTTCCTCTCCTCCTTATTCTAAATATCGAATTCTTTTTGCGAACTAAATCTAACTTCGAATTTGAAACATGTTAAGTCTTTTTGCTGAAAGTATCGATCTGATCTTGATTGCGCTTATTTACAAAACACAGTCGCGTTTTTTGAACACCTGTACAATTCATTTGAAAATAATTGAAAACGTATAATTTAGAATACAAAAAGTTTCACAACAAATGCTTTAAAGCATTTGACCGATTAAATAGTCAGAAGAAAAAATGTTACCAATTGACTAATCAAAGAATGCTTCAAAGCATTCGTAGCATCACGTATATAATCACAGTTTAACAAGACAGATGTAACATTGCCATGAATGCATCAGGGGCGTGAATTTGGGTCCAAATTTAATGAGCCATTCCACTTTACTACTGCTATTATATGCAAGAAGATGCATTTAGGAGATTTGATTGGTTGTTTCCAGTATTGTTATCGCCATTATATGCAAAGTTATACCTGTCTTCATATACCATGGTTATTATTAATCATAAAACTTTCAGTGAATCTCGCACACTGAAGAATAAAATTTCATTCTTAAAGATTGAAAATTAAGCCACTCTTTTCCGAGATTAGCACAATTTTTACTCTATAGAATTAGATTCCAAAGATTTTAGAGAGTACTTTTGTTAGATAATTTAATTAGAATATTTTAATTTTATACAATATTATTTTTTCGCAATGTCAATTTTTAAAATCATAAATTTGTTTTCTATTTTATCATTTATCATCCAATTTCTGATAGTATTCATAGTAGTTTTTGCTAATCAAAGAAGAAATAATTTTAATAGTATCAACCCAATAATACAGCACAGTGCAATAAAAGTAAATACTTCAATTATTCATCTAATTTTATTTTTCTCCCCGCACAGCATGCAACCTCTGCTGCAACTCTTCCTCTCGTCCCACGTGGGCGACCTTGAGAGAAGCGAACCATCATAAAACCCATTGAATTTCGAGAGGGAGATAGACATTCACGAGTCAAGGACCACGACAAAACCCGAGCTATCATCATCGCGAGTGAAACCCGAGATTGTATTTGTTGACAGGATCGTCGTACAGTAGATACCGCGATGCTACCCGTCGTCGATGATCGGCTATCCAAACGAGCTCCTCTTTTCCATTCCATTTTGTAACGCAATGTGTGACCGCCTTTGATCGCAGATAGAGCGAGGTGACGAGCAATTCGCATTGCTGCAAAGCGGAAATAACAATTCGCGATTGCGGCATCAGTTTGCATGGCTCACGAATGGATACTTAACACTTGATATCGTCGAGTGCCCTAAGAAACCACTCGTTACTCGTAATACTATATGTATAGTGAAATCTGATATGCAGAAAAGAGACTAAGCTAATTCAGATGCTTAGTCGATAGAGAGTGATAACTTTATATTGTATAAACTATATCGTTATGATAAAAAATATCGGTATTATATGATTGATAATATTTCAACGATTATATATTTCATTTAGTATTTAGATTCTTATATATGTATATAGATATCAGCCGTTAATAAAAATAGAAAAAAATGCAATTATGTAATACTACTGCAGTACTGCATATAGAAATTAGTAATTAAGAGAGAAGCATCTAAATAATAAATTTTAAATAATTAATATTCCATTATTGTTTCGCTAATCATCTACATATAAATTTATATCTCTTAATTAAAACAATTGGTAACATTTGTTTTCTCTAAAGGCCAAACGTATGCATAAAAAATTATTCAATCACATTTTATAATACATACGGCCTTATGACAGAAATACAATTGAATAATTTTCTTTACATAAAGAGTTTATGCAGCTATGAAAGTTTATCTAGATAGACCGTAATTAAGTCTACATACTTATTATATAAATCTTATAATAATCAGGAAAATTAATATAAATAAAAGCTCGCCATCCATAACATTTTTTTCATGTCAATTTGTATATATTAATTTTATTAAATATAAAATTTGGCTATATTATAACAATATATTTAATAAAAGTATAATTTATATATATATATATATATTCAATAAAATTATTAAAATATCTTTATTAAATATAGATATTGTTAATCGTTAATCTAGTCAAATTTCATTCTGCCAAAAGAAAAAAAAAATTTACTGGATTGATTATGATTTAGCGTTTGCGACAATTTCCTCCGAATCTTTTGTACATTTTACGTATACTTATTTTTTTACTACATACAACTTTACTGCGCAACACCAGCAGTGCTGAGTGCGCAGTGTCCAGCTGATAGCACCGACCGCGCGCGAAGGAACAGATGGCGAGCCGGTTGCACTTTGTGACGTAATAACATGGCGACGAGTACTTTCGGCGGGAAACATGCCTCTTGGCAGGCTTGGTCAGCGTCTGTCGTGTGTCGCAGTTCGTCATCATCGAGCAGCTTGCGTGTCTACAACGTGCGTTTCTCAACCTCAAGGAGTTTTAGTGTCACGTGAAGGATATTACGGAAGATATAAGACGCGACATAAAGGTACTTTGCCAATAACCTCAAGAAGTTACGTATTGCCTACATAAATCAATAAGCTGCTACTGTAAAAGAGAGCTCAGCATCGAGATAACTATGGGTATTAATTATGTCAATTGTGATATTCGGACACTTTGTGTCTCGTAAAACGCAATAATAAGTTATAAGGATCGGTATGAAAGCTGATTTAGTACATGGATTGTTCGATTAATTGGCAATTCCCCCCCCTCAAATAATTATTAACATATCCATTAACGTCGCTCTATGATAATGTAAAATTAAAATGAGTCATTTCGCGCAATTAGTTTACATTAGATATATTATTTCAGAAAGAAATAGCTGCATCATGGAAATGCTTTCAACGAAGAAGCTTTACAACAACCCGTTTACGATCTGCATAGAGGGAAATATCGGAAGTGGTAAAACAACATTCTTGAATCACTTCCAGAACTTTAACAATGCTACCATTTTACAAGAACCAGTGGACTTGTGGCGAGATGTGGCTGGAATAAATTTGTTGGTAAGCTTTTTTAAGAATAAAATATTTTTGTGAGGTACATTTTGATGATGTGGACATTAATTAAGTCAAAACAAGACATATAATGGAATCGCTACATAGATTTAAACAGTCTATAGTTATCTGAATGAATATTTTCTGATATGAGTGCATCAATACTAAAATAAACACTGATAATATTTTTAGGATCTTTTCTACAAGGATCCAGCACATTACGCCTTCTTGTTTCAATCATATGTTCAGTTAACTAGGCTACAGTTACATACTATGGCTACACCATCACCCTATAAAGTTATGGAAAGGTCTGTGTTTAGCGCAAAATGTTTCCTAGAAAACATGAAGCGTATGCACATGATACAGGATGTAGAAGCGGTAGTTTTAGAAAATTGGTATGATTGGTGTATGGAAAATACAAATATAAGGGCAGATTTAATAAGTATGTATCTCTATCAATTAAACAAAAAGATTCTTATATAAAATGTGACTTTCTCCTTTCATGAAATTGTACATCTTTTTACTGTGATTTAGTATATCTGAGGACAACACCGGAAGTTGTATTTCAAAGAATGCAAGCACGCGCACGTAAAGAAGAGGATTCTGTGTCGTTGGAATATCTAAAACAAATTCACGAAATCCACGACGACTGGCTCTACAGACAAACTCTATTTTCTTTACCGGCGCCGGTTATGATCATAGACGGTGATAAAAGTTTCGAAGAAATGGTGCCACAATTTGAGAAGTGTAAAAATCGGATACTCGACGAACAAACTGATGGCACAACAAGCCCCAGAATCGTTTTAAATACTAAAGCATAACGTAGGCTGTTTATGCTAATACATATTTATGTAATACGTTATCCATTTGAGAATGGATTAATTTTATATAATAATTTTTTTTTATAATAATATTTAAGCAAAATCTGTCGATGTTGCTTGCACTTTTCACATTCATTGCCAGAATCTTTGAGAAAAAGCCTCGAATATATCTTCATCTCGTTTTAAGTGCAAGTATTTTTAGTTAATTCAAGTAATGTGAACAGACCTCTGGTATTGTATTGTTCTATTATTTCATAAAGTTTAAAAATTGTCAATAGTATGACTCTTATATGACTTACCTTCGGAGACTGAAATGATACTGTGTTTCGGAAAGGTAGGCTGATTGTCATTGACGTCGATTACCCGTACGCTCAATGCAGCGGTGCCGGTTAATTGTGGGTTTCCTTGGTCAGTTGCGATGATAGTCAACCTGTACTTCTCACGGATCTCACGATCTAGGACTATATTGGTCCGAACGATTCCACTGTACGGTGGACTTATGGTGAAGGCATTATCCGGATTACCATCCACAATATGATACAAGATTCTACTGTTCAGTCCTTGATCAGCATCACTTGCTGAAAGCTGCAAATATTGACATAAAATTGTACATCATATAAAATGCGACATATATATTGCGTGTCAACACGATATATTACATCCTCTATTTTTATATCTAAACGTTGTTAATATAAGATTAAGAAAGTATAAATAAACATATTTGCATCTTTGGAATCTAATTACTATGTGTCATATTTCTTTTAAACTCTTTCCTAAATCCTTTTGTAAAAACAACTTCCTCAAATTTTCGTATCGTATATGTATTTCGTACTTTAATTTCGTTAAAGAAGTATCGTGTAACATATTAAGTATAAAGGCGATATTAGATTGTAAAAAGTTTTCTCACCTTCACGACGAAATCTCCTTTGGTATTGCCCTCGAGTACAGTAGCAGAATACTGCGTTTGCGTGAAGATTGGTGGATTATCGTTGATATCGGATATCCTGATAATTACTTTAACGTATGCTTCCAGAACATCCTGGCTCCTCGCTATCACATTGAGAACGTGTCTCGAACTTTCCCTGGGTATTTCCTTAGGCTGCTGGCCCTCTAAGGATCTACCCCACGAATTTGTGCGCCCCGTGTCGCCCGGTAGTTCGTTATCGGATTTGATCGTCAAGTCATTCCAAAGCTCCGCGTCCAGCCTGGTAGGATCATTGACACGCAACAGACCAGTGTCTTCGTCGATCGCAAAGGTGTTGTAGTTGTTTCCGGACGCGATCGAATACGTGACGCGCTGTTTCCTACCATCAGTACGTACCGCAGTGATTTTCACTACCTCCGTGCCAGCCGCTGAATTTTCCTGAATGACGACGTTGTATATGTCGTTCTGAAATTTCAAACTGGGCGTCAGGTCCGCGAGGTGGCCGACTTGAAGCTCAATCAAACCCTTAGCGCTCTTCGGCGGATTGCCCTTGTCCTGGGCCAACACCTCTAGATAGTACGTCTTGCCATTATCTTGCGACAATGATAGGCTTGCCGTTACTTCGCCAGTGCTAGGATGTATTCGAAATTTCGGTTTCTCCTGCTCGTTTATCAATGAGTACACGATATCACCGTTTACGCCGTCGTCAGCGTCTTTGGCTGATACCCGGAGAATGTTCTGACCCGGTTTCGTACTGATGGGTACGCGTGTCCGAAATGGGTACTCGTCGAAAATTGGCGCGTTGTCGTTTATGTCGCTGATGATGACCTCGACAGGTATTGATGTGCTTTTCGCATCATACATGCCGCTGTCCGTTGCAACCACGAGGAAGGTGTAGTTGCTTTGACGTTCACGGTCTAATGGGCTGTATTGAACAGGAAGAAACAGATAGTTATAGAATTATAGAGTTATTATCACAAGATTAAGAAATGAAAAGAGTAAATATATTTTAATTTAATAATAAAAGAAATATTTACAATTTACTTATTTTTAAAATTTTAATTTAATATCAATAAAAAATACATTAAATAAATATATATATATAGTTTTTTAAAATTATTAATATAAAAATTACGATAATCGTTATTTTCAATAAGATATTTATATAAGTATTTTGTTGCTACATTAATAAAAAAGTATTAAAGATTACAAGAAAAATTACTAGAAAAAAATTCTGATTTAGTCTCACAATATCTCGTACCTTAAATTAATTTTCTTAAAACAATGCTATTAGGAAGTTACGCAAGTGCAAGTCGAGAGCAAGCAAGAGAAGTTCCCAGCGTGCCTTTGCGATACAACGTAACGCTCGTAATAATTCTTAATAAGCGTGGGATAATGATCGGACGTCGGTAGTGCACGAGTTCGATACGCTTATTTACGATTGCGCGAAGCTAACTCGAATACTCCACAGTTATCTTCCGCCCTAGTATCAGCATATCTGCTGACTGCAACTCGAAGTATGCAGTACAAATCTCTATCGCATCTGAACGATAGTTGCGAGAAATGATTCATTTGAGAATGATTCAAGGAATGCAAGTATTTTTTTATTTCGTGACTGATATGTTATTGCTTAATTAATATATTAATAATAATAAATGAAACATAAGTGGGTTTATTGATTTATATGAAAATCACAAGGATAGATGTGACGACTTATAATTTCATAAAAGTTTTGCACTTTGATTACGGAAAATGTTGTTGATACATCATCTCCACAGGAGATGATTTTACCAAAGTATCTAAAAATTTAGCTAGATAAAGATTTGAAAATTGTAAAGAGAGTTGTTATATAAATAATATAAAAATAATGAGCATACAGCCACAAACGCAAGATGTTGTTTGCAACGTTTGCAAAGTCATATATTTTTAATTAATTAATATATAGAGTTGTTATATTTTGTGTTACATGTCTGGAATTTTATATACATATATTAATATGTGTATGTTGTGTGTGTTATGTATATTGTGTGCGCCGTGGAAATTCGCGGAAATAGCAGGTACGCATGATTTTATGGATCAGCATCTAAAAGAATCGATATTCCGACTTGGACCACGATAATAGGGACAATAGTTATTTTTAGATAAACTATTTTTCTGCGTATAGAAAAATATTCGCAATTCTCTCTCACTCTCAGAATAAAAATTATTCTTCCTGAAGTGCATAGATTTATCAGAGGAATTCCGTACCTGTTGTATAAAATAATAGATAATTTTGTTGGATCATCAAAAAATAATTATATATAATACAAAACTTAAGCATGATGAGCAATGTTTGTAAAAAATATTGATATTCCAAAAGTCAGTTTGAGCGTCTTACAATTTTAGTGGTCCAAAAAAATTATTTTCAGATCTGTATCTAGCTAAAAAATGAGATTAATGATCGTTCAAATCGATGACCAAATTTAATTTACTTGTGAGATTAATATTATTATTTCAGTTTGACTGTGTCGCAAGTCCGAAAGTAATCAGCGAGTAATCAAAAGAATAAATATATTTAAAATCAATTAAATATAGAATTATTATTCCAGCGCATTTAATTTTGACCGCAGTTGGCGCTTCTTATATAGTCTTAGGTCGGTATTCATAATCGGTTCTTATTTTAAGACCGTCTTAAGTAATGTCTTAAGATGCTAATGCAGCTGTTTGATTTCATGACACCTCAAAACTGAACTTAAAACGGTCTTAAATATAAGAACTGATTATGAATATCGGAATAGTTTATCTAGTCTTAGTTTACATAGTCTTAGTATTATATTTTTTTTAGATATTTCAACAAAATCGTCCTTTCCTATATCAGTGTTTTTTCTATCAGATCGCACTATTTATCAAATCGTTCTAAATGAGAACTGATCCTCGTTTGACCCGTATATTGTCTCTACCGGGTGGTCTCTAGAAAGCAAAAGAAGGGAGAAGTGTTCCGTACCGAGGTGCTGCAGAACGACGCGACGGCGGCGCGGCTTTCAAAGGTAAGAGAGGAACGAGACCGTCGCCGCAAGAGCAGCGGCAATAAGGCGACACGAAAGCCGGGTCCACGGCTACTGATCGAGGAAAGAGGATACCAAAAACAGAAGCGGGATGAGAAAGAAGAGGCGAAGGAGACGGTGAAACGAGACGACCGGACAGTAGTCGCGGCGGGAAAGGGTGAAGAGAGAATGAGAGAGACAATGAAAGTGGGAGAGACGCGGCGAAAGAGCAGCTCGAACCGAGATCTGGTTTTGCATATCAGGAGGCATTTTGCCGGCTGAAATAATGCATTGAAATGCCAGATGGCGTCTCGCTGAAATGACACACGGCTGTCGCGACGCAAAAGTATGCGCCCCCCTGGGTTTCTTAGTCCTCCTCATGGCTACCGACTACTCTCTTTCCGTTTCTACACTGTCAACCGGCGCCTGTTCTCCCACATTTCGCAACCTTCTCTGTGTTCATATCCTACAAAGCACCCACTCGTCACATCGGTAGTCGTGATAGAAGCAAAAACAACAAATGATGGAAGCGAAGGCGGCAGAACCGCGTAAACAGATGCAGTTAAGTAAAATTGTAAACCATTGTAAACTAAGATTGTCACCGAAGAAAAGGAGGATCGATTAATTGCCACGTGGATTAAAACACGAATCGTGAATCACCGAGACGGACGTTGGGCGTGTCGATCGTACGGATTTGCGGCGTCTCTATATAATAATTTGCAACGAATAAATTATACATTCCCGGCGTGGAAATGATTTATCGAAATCACTCGGTTGTGTCGTCTTCAGAGGCAGGTCACCGGACACGAGGGCAGGCGACTCTAATCACCGTGAAACTCTTACGCGACCGTATAACTGACCACCTATAAAAGTTAATATTTTGTATATAAAGGCTCGGTATTTAATTCGATTCCGAGAAGTTCTCGTGCAATTAACGTTTGAGTTTTCCACCGTTCGTACGCCGAGACCGTATCGAGCGATTAACGATCATCGGTCAGCGTGCTCCATTGGATCAAGGTTCGCGGTAGCCCACAGCGAAATTATCCATTAATTAACGAACTACGACTT